CTCTGGGCCACTCTATCCTTCCAAAAGAAATTATTTCCTAAAGATTACTATAAGGCGTGAAGTTTTTTCTTTCTTAAACATACTTAACATGTCCTTGAGACAGATTGTAACATTTTTCAATAAATAAGCTTAAAAAAAAAAATACTTAACATAGCTTAATTATGGTTACCTTAAATAAATAAAGAAATTTTTATTATATTTTTTTATAAATAAAATAAATAAATAGTTATATTATTTATTGAACACTTCCACTGTATTTTATCTATTTTATTTTATGTATTTTATAAATTAAGTTGGGAAGAGAGATGAGAAAATATGAGGAGGAATAAGAGAAATGTATAAGGATACAGTAGGCAAAGTAAGGGAAATAGAATGTTAATGTAAGAAATAGAAAAAAAATAAGAAAGAAAAAAATTATAAAACATATTAAAAAAACAAATAATATAAAATAATAATAATAATTGTTTACTAAGCTCATATATATTGATAATACTGTATATTTGTATAAAGGATTGTCTAGTAATGATTGATAAGTACACTCTTTGTAGCAACCAATATAATTGGGCGGCACCCTTTTATGAAAATAAAGTGATTCTCTCTCTCTCTCTCTCTCTTCATGTGGTTTAAATGTTTTCCATCATGTCTTTTTACACACTTCACCTCATTTCGACACATCGAATGCATTTATTTATTTTTGGCATTACCTGCTTACCAGAATGTTATCTAGAATATTATATATAGACACATACATATACAATTTTATAAGCATAATATATATAATTATACCTTGGTAGATTTAGAAGAACAAATACTGAAGATATCAAAAGCAGCATCTTAGTTATATTTTGCTGGGTCTTTGTCACAGAGTTCCTGGTAGAGCTCATACCTAAATAAAATATATTGACGCAAGTAATGAAAAAATAGTTTATAAAATCAATCTTATATGAATTTTCATTTAAATTTTCTTGTCGATCTCAAGCATAATAATGTTTTATCCTTTTGTCTTTGTTTGTTTTAAAAAATAAAATTGATAAGTTGAAGAAAAAAAATACGTAAAAATTTGCATTCAGGTTCAGACCAATTGTTTGTCAATTTAACCAAAAATATTGAGTATGGAAATATATTTCATTTTTTTCACAATCCGAAAAAAACACAATTAAACCAAAAAACAATAATTTATAAATGATAATAAAAATTACAAAATAAATAAATTTAAAAAAATGCTAATGCTTCCATGGCTGTATACAACACACTTTTTTTTTTTTGTTGGTTTTTGTATCGAAATAATAGCTGATTAGAGATTTTATACGCCTATATTTAGACCAATTATTAAGATAAAGCAAAAAATAAAGCTTAACTAACTCTTTCTTACAGCAATTAGGTAATGACAGGATTGTAGTCGAGGAGATTCGATATTAAATTTTCGATGAATTTATGCATTTCAGACAGGATTAGAATTAGGATTTTTTCCAGGAGAGACTTGATTTTGTCACCCATTCTTTCACCTCCCGTCACACCCGCAATAAAAGTCTTTTAGGTAATGTATTATAAAATAAATATCATCATCAGATAATATTTACTCGTGTTCAATTAAGATTAAAGCACACTAATCATACCAGACTGAAACGACAAGAAACAGCTCGACGTTTCCGATTACTTCAGCACTTACTAGACAAACGCTGTAAACTTATAGCTAATTACAAAAGACTCATATACATTACTATAATAAGGCCTATTTGGACTAACGGAGTTGAGATAGGGGCTACACTAAACCATCGAATTCCTCTCGTAAGCAATCCTTACAATCCAAAATCCTTCGTAAAATCCATAATGCTCCCTACTTTGTTACAAATATAAACCATCCATAATCACCTTAATGTTTCTTATGTTTCAGATCTGGCCCAATCCAGCTACCTATCCTTCCATAATAAACTTCAGAATCATCCCAACCCTCTCGTTTCTAACCTTGCTTCCTCTTCATTTCCTGATAACCCTCCGAGGCGACAGAAAAGAAGACGACCCCGTGATCTCCAAATGTAGACACATCATTAGAGGGCTACCATCGGGTAGTTTCTCAACAAGTGTTTTCACGTCATTATATCCATATGTTCAAATTTACTAAATGTATTTCTTTAATACAGTTGTAAATATCATTAAGAAATAAAAAAAAAATAAAAAAAACAACATTATATGCATAATTGGTAAATGGTTGACTGTGGTGGATAATGAAGAGAAGAATAGTTGGAGTGGTCAGTCAAAAAAGAAGGCAAACATAAATGATAATATTTATTTTTTTATATAAAAAATAAATATTATCATTTATTTTTGCCTTATTTTTTGACTGACCACCCCAACTATTCTTCTCTTCATTATACATTATATAGTGGATAATACGTACTTACATGTTTTATACAGAGGTAATTAGATAAATTCACTAGATTGTGGTTAGAATTTGGAATCCTTAATGAAATAATGCAATCTGCTTCTGGCTTATTCGGTAATACAATATAACTGTTATTATAAATTAAATTTACTTAAGAAATGGTTACGACACTTATACCGGATAATTCCAGAAGACGTCTGAAAAGAATTAGAAATGAGAAATGAGTGAGGGGCCAAATTACATAATTATGTAAGTAATTTAAACCCGCGGAAGGGGTACCGCTGGGTACTGTTTTTTTCTTATTATAAAGCCTCTTTTATACCATTATATTATTTTTAGTTTGTTTATATTTTCTCATTTCATTACCAAGCGAACACCTTTGCTGATATATGTAATTTACGGGAGTAGATTAAAAAATAAAAGTGAAATATATATATATATATATATATATATATATAAAAAATAAATTTTAATTAAATACCATTGAACCAATCTTATTGTATTAAGTTTTGTGACACCCAATTTCTTGGGAGAATAATATATTTCTGAAGAGGGGGACGAAGTTTTCCTTGAAGCGATCAATAAATTGCAATGAAAGATTCATTTGATTAATTTATTCAGACTATCAGGCAAATGTATAGCTATATATATATAATAATAATAATATATATTATCAAAAAAACCTTTACCAATACAACCCATGAAAGGTTTGGTAGTCTTGCCCAAATGCGAGACCAAGACTTGTTCTTGCGCAAGAGTCTCGCAACAGTCTTGCAGTTACCCATTAGCTTATTACTATAGAGACATTACTGTAATTTTTTAGATAGAAGAAACCTAACTAAACCCGAATGAAAAATTAAAGGAGTTAAATGCAAACGTATATTGGTTATACCAATCCTTTACATATAGTAACTAAAATTGTCAAGTATTAGTTACTATTTTGCCTTAATTTTTATTCGGAAATTAAATTTTCTTCTAGCAGTCTTGGTCTTGGTCTTGCAACAGTTAGGCGATTTTAGTCTTGGTCTTGCAAGGTGCGGTGCCCGTTTATAGAGGCTGGATGTGACCCAAGAGGGTTTTCCGGCACCAGAATCGATCCACCGCTGATGAAAAATTATTTGATTTATAAATATATATTTATTAAATAAAATATATATATATATAGGATGCTTATGAGAGCAAGTAAAATGTTATGATTAAGATAAGCGAACTAATTGTTAATCAATCATATATCAATGATAGAGAATGCAATAAGTAACACAAAAAAGGTTACAAGAGTATTGTAATACAGTGTATTAATTATAAATGTGTTAGGTCTAGAATAATGTACAGACTAAGAATTGAACATTTCTGTTTTCTTTGTAAAATAAGTGATATCATTAAGACCAGTGTAACTATTTTATTATATATTTTGGTTACAAAGAATTGTCATCATTAAGTTAAGTGTTACCCTTTATATTTTTTTGCTTTTATTTTTAGTCCCTCTATACGAAGGAAGTGGAGGAAGGGAGTTAACTGTATATAGGGTGTATATAAGTAAAATGTTATGCTTAAGATAAGCTGACTAATTGTTTATCAATCTCATGTCAGTGATAGAGAATGCAATATACAACCCAAAAAAAGATTAAACAAGTATTGTAATACAGTGTAAAAAAACTTACTTATATTCCAGTTCGAAATAAAGCCAGTTCATTTCCAGAAGGCGTTTTGTCATATCTTCAGTCTAATAATAACTTTATATATATATATATATATATATATATATATATATATATATATATAATTGAAGTAGGAAGATTGTTTATTTTACTTTATAAAGTTGAATGCTAATATATTTTTTTATGTTATTATATTTTGTTCTTATTCCTATGTATTATACTGCTTACTTAATTTATTTATTACTATTTTCTGTAAATATGGCATGCAGTTGCTCTCTGATTTCTATTATAATTGTCTTTAATAAATACCTGGAGTGTTTGTTTTACTTTTATTTCTATTTTTATTTACTTATGTGTATATATATATTTTTTTTTCTTTACTCTTTTGTTCTTTTTTCTTATTCTTTTGTTATTACTTTATTTATTTATATTTTTGTATATACGGTATGAATGCAATCTCTGAACTCTACTATAAGTGTCCTTAAACTGTGACAAATTGTAATATTTCTGATTAAAGTGTTTAATAATCAATAAATACCTGGAAAACATATATTGTACTTATTCATGTTCATCCCTAATATATATTTTTCAGCAATACAAAAAAAGCACTAATAACTTCCGTATTCAATTTATAATAATTACCAATCCAAAAATGAAAAATTAACTGAAAATTATCAATGAAATGAAAATTAAATAAATTTAACATTTAGTACAATTTTTTGATACCCGGGATTATAGCAAGTAAAATTAAGCAGTGCACATATCAATTGATTATTATTAAAATTTAAATGTTTTACAAATTTCATCAAGTAAATTAAGACCGAATGATATAATGATAATTAATTCATATATGCACTGCTTGATTTTACATTCTATAACCTCACGTATCCATGATTTTTTTTTTTACAATATTGATTAATTGATAAATATTTGTTGTATGGTATAAAAAAAAATTAAAATTAATTTTTATAAATAGTACTTAGTGCAGGTGTGATGGAATCTGTTCTTCTGTATGTTGGAACGGTTTCCTGAGATGGGCTTCCTATTGGTGTCTCGATGGTAGCCGGATTAGAGTTAATTTTCTAAAAGTAAAAAAAAAAAATTAACAATTTAAATACTTTAAGAGATTTACGTTTGATCATACAGCCATACTAAATATCTATTAAATTTTAAATATTTGATAAGATTATTCATTGCATAATAGATAAAGCCTAATACAATAATATTTGTGGTTCTTTTATAGGCAATAATTCAAATACGACTATTAAATTGAACTAGTTGAAATAGTAAACATTTATTTTTCTTATTTTTAAGTTTAATTTTTTATAAAGTTTATACAAATTTCTTTAATAGTTTAAAAGATGATTTTTTTTTTACTTTATTTAAAGAAAAAAAAATCTAAAAATGAGATTTATGGGCGGCGAAAATGACATGTTCTATTCGGCTTGCAAAAATATATTTCTCCATTACAGGAAATGCTCTATTCATTAGCATAATTACTGATGGTACTTAACTCTGGTTTTTGATGATAAAGTTAAAACAGCGTTGAAACTAGGATTTTTTCTCAGGGAAGACAAAACAAAATAGTCAAAACAGTTCTTTAAAAATATTTTAGATAATATATATATATATATATATATATATATATATATATATATATATATATATATATATATATATATATATATATATATATATATATATCTTGAAATAAATATCATTTCATTGCATTAACTCATTTTATTGACTGAATTAACGTAAAACCAATCAAAAAGCAGAACTTTTTTACTTGACCTAAAAATAACATTTTTCTTAGATAGTGCCTGGAGAAAGTCCCCCATTTTCTTTCCACTCTTTAATTTAATCCGTGATATTCTATATAATAATACATAACATTCTTGAAATTAATGTACTACCCATCCTCTTTAATTACTTTATACTCAACTTATCTATACGTCGCGACATCTTACTTTTACCATTGTCAACTTTTCTGTTCCTTGAAAATAAAAAATTGAAAACCGGCGTTACTCACATATTAACACTTCAATAGTTTGAAAATTTGTCAAATATGAAAAAAAAACTTATTTCTTATTCAACGTACCCCCTGCTATTTTTGGCGTTTTCATATCTCAAATATTTATTGATTGAATATTACTCCACTTACCTGATATGCAAAATTACACTAAGTACACTTTTCATTTATTCGTTAAATAAAAATAATAATGTTATTGATTTAATCAATGGACCTGCAACTCTTATTATAATATACAGGGTGACCCGTAAGTAGAGGGAAATATTTAAAAGATCGATAGTAAACATCAAGATCTACAAAAAAATTCATACAAGTAATTGCCCAATTTCCAGCAGAAAAGTAAGAAATTTAATATCTGTGTGTTTTTTGTTTTTTTTTAAGCGAGTCACGTTTTATGTTGAATATTTTATTTAAGTATCTAATTGCTCCATAGTAAAATACACAAAATTTACATTCAAAGAAAATAGAGTTTGTCGTTGTGAAAACTATCATCCTTTTATGCCTCCTCGAAATCGTCAAAACCGTTTTAGATAATATATATATAATCAAAAATATTTTAGATAATATATATATATATATATATATATATATATATATATATATATATATATATATATATATATATATATATCGAAATAAATATCATTTCGTTGTATTAAATGATTTTATTGACTGAATTAACGTAAAAACAATCAAAAAGCAGAACAATTCTTTTTTACTTGACCTAAAAATAACATTTTTCTTGGATACTGCCTCGAGAAAGTCTCCCATTTGCTTCCCACTCCCTGATTTTAATTGACGGACAAACACAGCTAAGTTCAATTTAAAAAAAAATCATGAAATATTTGTGATGTTTTTTTATCACCCTTTAACGATACTACATTTATATCACTTTTACAAAAACTTCTTCGTTTAATAAGCTTTAAGTCCATTTTAATTAGGTTGAGGTTTATTAGGAAAATATATGAGATTCACCTCAAGTTGTGTAAAGAAAGGATGTGATTTCCTATCCAGTCACCTGAAAGTACCATTGTTTTCAGCAAAAATGAATACAATTAACTGTTGCATAGCAAATGAATGAATAACAAAATGTTCCTGATCCTAATATTAACGTTTTATTTATTAACGTAAGAACCTTTATTTATTAACGTAATTAAAATAAGTAATCAGCAGTTTTTTATTTTATTTTAAACATGAATTTAAAGACTAGAAACTTTTATTTCAATAAAGTCACTCACAAATACAGACCAATCCTTATAATACAGAACTGTTAAAAAAAAACACAGTTTATAACCAATTTATCCGAAAAATATTTGAAAAAATAGTAATTTTCATTCAAATTACTTTTTTTTATAAATAAAATGCATGTTTAGGCAATTTGTTTTGTTAAAATAATTCACATATCGTGGAAAAACAAGTAATAAAATCTTTGCAACAAATAATTTTAGTCAACTTTGCTGAAAACACGGGTACTTTTACTTGACAGGATATAACATATCATAATTTGTTCTCAATACTTGAGCTGAATCTCAATTTTTTTTCCAAATAAACCTCAACTTAATTAATACGAACCTAAAGCTTATTGAACGAAGAAGATTTCGTAAAAGTGGGGACACTTTAGTACAGTTGGACGATGATGATAAAAAAAAAAAAAATGTTGAATAATTTATGATTTTCTAAAAACAGAACTTAGTTTGTTTAGACTCCCAAAAGCCCTCTGTAAATGGTTTTAACAATGATAAACTCTATCTTCATTGATGGTAATTATCATATTGTTTACAATGAAGCAATCATTAATTACTTAAATTAAATATTCCTTTCGATTCAATAAAAAAATGACTCGCTTAAAAAAAAACACAAAACTTAGATTTGCTACTTTTCTGATGAAAAATTGCCCATTAATTAAATGAACCTTTTTGTAGCTCTTGAGATCTGCTGTTACTCCTATAAAAATTTCCCTCTACTGACCACTCTGGGACAGCCTATATGTATAAATACTTTCTATATATATATATATATATATATATATATATATATATATATATATATATATATATTTGTTTATTTATTTATTTATTTATTGTATATGTAGTTAATAATAAACATACACATTCTACATTAAAAATGATGAATAAGAAAAAAAATAGAAAAATTTTAATATGAAATGGTTAATTTTGATGTTGACAAAAAATTCATCCACCATGTAGCAATAGGTATAATAGGTAATAGTTTAAAAAAATATGGAAGACATTTTTTCTTCTTCCTTCGGCGCTATGGCCCATCAAGAACCTTGGCTTCCTCAACTATTTACCTCCACTCAGACCGATCATCTTTTCTCCAATGCCTCATACCCTGTGACTTCCGGTTTTCCTCTACATCGTCTGTCCATCGTAGTATAGACCTACCTCTTTCTCTTTCTTCATCTGGACTTATTTCCATTATTTGCTTTGGGAGTCTTTTTTGATCCATCCGATAAACATGGTCCGCCATCTTATTTTCCCCTTTTCTATGCAAAAAACTATGCCAGGTTCCCCATATAGGTTCTAAAGTTTTGCATTGGTTTTTATGCGGTAATGAATTCCTCCTTTGGTTGGGTATTATATTCTTCTTTGAATCTTTCTCTCCCATGTACTCAGCAATCTCTCTTGCTGCTTCATTAGGGTCCGCGCCTCACTACCATACATGACAATAGGGCCAAGTATCGTTTTATATACCATAATTTTGAGACTTCTGGGTATCTAAAGAAAATCTAGCTATTATAAAAAAAAATAAAATATTGAGGACAAGATTATTTAAACTATAATTGACATTACGTTAGGTAGATTAATGGTAAAGTAAGACTGGTTGTACATTAATTTCCAGGTAATTAACAAACACAAAATTTTTACGTGAAGAAATTATTAGTGTTATATTTAAATTAGAAAGGAAGTGAATCAATTTTAGTAGTAAAAAAAAAAAAAAAACGGAAAAGTAATTTCAACGAATTACAAAATTATGAAAAAATAAGAAATATTTACTAAAAGGAAAATAAGTGTTTGATTTACTTACTGTAAACCATTGGAGAGCGAACTGATCCCTTCTATCGCTTCGAGAGACAGAGCTGCTTCGTTCCAAGCTCTCACCAAATTTCAGAAGATTCTTCATTATCATTGTATTCATTATAATTATGAGAAACAATGGGACTATGAGCGTCAAAATAGCATCGATGATACTAATAATTCTCATTGCTTCATCATAACCATCACGCATTTCACAAACTTCTTCGCCCTGGTCAATCTTCATTTCAACTGCGAAGAAGGAATATGTATTGAAAAGGACAGCTATTCCAGTGAGAACTAGGACAACAGTCTTAGCTCTGTGGACAGTGCACATTCTCGGCCGATGAAGTGGGTATTGTACGGCAATGAACCGTTCAACGGTGAATGACACTATCAACCAAACGCTTAAAAAGCTGCAAACGGAACTTAGGTAAACTAATCCTTGACACCAGCCGTTGGTATTGTAAACCTTTACTCCGAAATTGTTGTTCAACCATACAAAGGATATGGAAAGAAGGAAGCCGAAATCAGCTGTTGAGAGTGCCGCTAAATAATAGCTGGAGCTTCGCATTTTCAAATGAGTATTAAGGAAAACTATGCAGGAAAGGATGTTTCCAATCAATCCGACCAAAATTACAGCGGGTAAATAATAAGGCAAGATTAAATCTAACCACTCAGAGCATGGCTCTGATGGCGATCCTCTTTCTCTATCTTTGCTCATATCCTTGAATATTTTTGTAAAATTCGATATCCGGTCGTGGCTACTAACATTTTGAGACGTTAAGTTCTCAGGAGGCGGATCCTTCGTATTACTATTCATAGCTGCAAAATAATACAAAAATGCTGTTATACCTTACACAAACAAATAATAACAAGAATAAATAATCTTAAAATGCCATACCGAGATCCATAATCCATTTTATAGGCCAATATAGATAATTAGTTTTGTCTTTCATGTCCAGTAACAGTTGTTGGTGATTATCCATTGTTCCTTTCTTCGATGAATCTTTAATCATTGAAATCTTTTATCATTGTTTTGTCATCAAAATTAATCTATTTGTTTAATATACTATAACTATTCAAACTGATAATGAAATATAAGCTAAGTATTTAAATAAATGATATATATATATATATATATATATATATATATATATATATATATATATATATATATATATATATGTGTGTGTGTACAGGATGTTTCAGGGTTATGTGGCCAAACAGCGAAATTAAACTAAGGACCTCTAAACAAGAAAAAATTTCCTCTGAAGGTATTCCCGCAAACGCTTTGTTTAGGAGATATTCACACCTAAAGATTTTCGTTATTGTGTATTATTTACGTTATATGAAATACATAAAATCTATTTATTTGTTCTACCTATTTTATTAATTAAATGTGAACATTAACATTCATATTAAATGTTGTTCAAAGTGATTTCCTTGATCATTAAAACAGGCTCGGCATCTTTATTCAATACTGGCAGAACGCCACTGGAAGTGTGTTATTGTTTTACAAGATTCAATTTTCCTTCTTCGTAAGGAATTGAGGTTATTGACCGAACATTCTCAATCATATCCCATATCCCAATTAATGGATTGGCAGTGCAGGACCAGTGGCTTGACCTGCACGCTCTCCAGACCAATCACCACTGGATTTTTTTGTTTGCGGTGACATTAAACAAAAAGTCTACGCAAGCCCAGTCAATAACCTTAATTTTTTACGAAGAAGGATAGTTGAACCTAGTGAAACAATAACACATATTCAGTGCTATTCCGCCACTGCTGCTGTTGAAGAAAGATGACGAGCCTATCTTAATGCTCAAGGAAACAATATTCGAACAATATTTAATATGAAATTTAATGTTTACATTTAATTAATAAAGTAGTTAGAACAAATTAATAATAAATATAATAGTATTCAGAGAACTCATTCACACTCTATTTACAATAAATAATACAGAAAAAGACCAACTGTGAAGACTTGGAAGACGACACACCCTTTTCAGATTTCAGCGTGACCGACTCGCAAAATGTGAAAAGACGTAAACTCCAAAAGCGTCTCCAAAACTCTGCTCCCGGATCGGGAAGCAACTCAACTAAAAAATATAAATAAATCGAAAAAATCAAATAAGTAAAAAGAACAAGAAAAATCTCTACTTTAAACTAGGAGCAAATCTAATGCCACACAATCAGAAGCAGAGCCCCAACTGCACCAAACATCTCAGCCAGCAAGAATTCTATTCTCGATAATAACTTATCAAACAAGATTCCGGAGCCTTAAGATTTTTCTCGCCGCCACCTGTTTTTGTTTCAAAAATTGAGAACTTCATATCATTCGGTCAAGACATTGCCGATCTGATCGGACAGCCAAATTTCCGCTGTTTCTCTAGAGTCAGCGACATTAAAATCAACACGAGCTCTAACGACAATTATACAATACTGATTAATCATTTAACATAAAAAACTGCGACTTCCATTTTCATCAATTAAAACAAGAAAAGGCGTATCGAGTGGTCCTGAGAGGTCTACATTCAACGACTCCATCTATCATCAAAATAGGCCTGAAAGAAATCGGTCAAAACGTCAGGCACATATCATCCGTAATACATCCTACAGAAAGATATCCGCTACCATTGTTCTTTATAGATACGGAACCAGAAAAAACCAATAATGAAATATTTCAGGTTCAACATTCAGTATACTCCCTAATAAACCCTCGCCTCCTAAACTGATTACAGGAGAAGTAGACCGGGACAAATTTCGTGATGATCTGGGAAATAAACTGGACTTTAAAATTTTACTTAAGGCAAAACAAAATATTTATAAAGCCATAGAAAAACTGACTACTATGTCTGAAACAACCAGTATAAATAATAACACATACGTCAATAAATTCGCGATATTTTAACTTGAAACAATACATTCGATAAACGTAGAGCAAGAAAGAAGTGGCACAGGACTAGATATCCTTCAGACAAAACGTACTACACCGAATGGACTAACAAACTAAAATCAGAAAATATAAAACTCAAATGTTACTTAACCTAACTCAAACTCTTACAACGACTGACGAATTACTATGGACGACCACCAAAAAACTTCTGAAGTTTAAAGACTTTAATCACCCACTTCTTACGGAATCCCACACTCGGTCCAAATCCGACGAAGAAAAATCTCAAATATTCGGTCATCTCTTCTAAATCTTGAACCCACATCTCGATTTTGTAAATTCAACTCACATCGAATATATTGAATCAGAACTGGATACTCCTCTCCAAATGTCCCTTCCATCTAAAGCATTCCATCCAACAGAAATATCCAACATCATTTAGAGATTACCTTTCAAATCTCCTGGACATGGCCTATTTACATCCCAAATATTAAAACTTCTTCCTCGAAAAGCCATTCTATTCCTTACTTATATATATTATGTTGTACTTCAATCGACATATTTTCCTGATCCTTGAAAAATATCTATTGTCAAAATGATTCACAAACCCAAAAAGCCACCAGAATACCCATCCTCTTACTATCCTATCTCTCTTTTATCCTTCATGGGCTAAATCCTGGAAAAACTTATTTAAAAGGTCTGTACCCCATCCTAAATTCTAATCACATAATCCCAGATCACCAATTTGGATTCCGTTCTTCCAATTCCAATATACACCAATGTCATCGTGTAGTTGACTTAGTCTCCTCTGCATTGGAACGCGGGATGTACTAATGTAATGTACGTTGAACGGCATTTGATAGACTCGAAACTGCTGTACAAACTCCGAAAATTCCTACCATCTACATACTTCCTCATTATCCGTTCCTACCTTACTGATAGATACTTCAAAGTAAATCACAACAATGCCTATACATCTCTCTTTTCCCAGTCTGTAGGTGTTCAATCACACATCAAAACTTTGAAGAATGGTGTCAAAACTGGAGGATTAAAATAAATTCCAATAAATCCCATCAAATTACTTTTATTCTTTGCCGTAGACCTATGACTTACAGTATTCTTTAACAGTACCTCACTTATCCCTATAAAACAAATCCGTTACCTAGTTACCTACACTTGGACAAACATCAAGCTTGGAATCCTCATACCAGAATTAAACGACAAAAAACTGCTCTACGCTTCCGACTAATTCAACACTTACTAGACAAACGCTTCAACCTTCCAATTAATTATATATAGGAAGTTGAGCTAATGGGCTCCATCAAACCATCAAATTTCTCTCGTATCCAATCTTTACAATCCAAAATCCTTCGTAAAATCCTCAACGCTCCTAACTTGGTTACAAATAAAACCATCCGTAATGACCTTAATATTTCATATTTGGCCCAATCCAGAATCTGGATTACAGATACCTATCCTTCCATAATAAACTTCATAACCATCCCAACCCTCTTATTTCAAACCTTGCTTCCTCTTCAATTCCTTATAACCCTCCGAGGAGACTGAAAAGAAGATGACCGCGTGATCTCCTAATGTAGACATAGAATACTACCAGTGGGTAGTTTCTCAACAAGTGTATAATGTCATTATATCCGTTTGTACAAGTTTACTAGATGTATTTTTTTATACAGTTGTAAATATCATAATAAAATATATCTTCTTATATATGGAACAGGAAAATTATTGCGTGTTTGACTTCTTTATTATGTTTATTTTTTAGTTTAAACTTTGAGACTGCCTCTTCAGTCTTAAAGAGGCTTTGAATATAAATGGACAGAAGAACGGAATGAGTGAAGAATGACGAATGTTTGGTCTAAAAGGTAAACCAAGAAATAATGATCTACGCCCCGCCCTCAGCTGTGCTATATCGCGAAAAAAAAGATAAATAAAACTAGATCAGTTAATATAGGGTTGATTAATATAGCATATTTCCAGTGTACTCAAGTCAGTTTTAATTCAAGCTTATGAAAATAAGTAGCTCTTAATGAACTGTAAAAATAATGCTGCGTTAATAGATGATATATTAACATTTCTCACAGTAGTTGTCAAGAAAGTAGTTGATATGTCCAATCCAAATAACAAATATATAAGCTGGATTTCAATGATTATCAATTCTAAATTGCGTTGTACTGATAATATGAAATTTGTATGTTGTAATTACCAACATTTTTTTAAAAAAGAAAGAAGAGATAAATAGTGCGTTATCCATTAGTATATGTTACGCACTTTATTTTTCAACTACTTTTTACTATAATTATCTGTTATTACACTTTGTTTTAGTTTTCAACAATATATTTAATATTTCAAAAATATCAATTTATTTTGCTCAAATATTTTATTATCATTTTGAAAGTTTTAGTAGATATTCAAAAATTTTAATGTTATGCTCCTTTTTTTATATGAACAAAACGGTTCTGGTATTGCTGTATTATTTGAATTTACCTTATAAATTTTAATTTATTCAAATCAAGATTATTTATTTTGGGAAATGGAGGGAGGGGGTGGTTAGGGTAGGGTGGTGGTTGAAACAAAAATTGTATAAGTGGATACTTATTGTGATAAAAAAAAAAATACCATAAAGATTATTGGTCCACTGTTTCCTTTCTGTTGAAGGGTTTTCAACGTTGAATATGTTGATTTGAGTTAAGCCTTGAAATTTACTTTTTAAAATATGTAATTCGACCAAGAAATCATCGAAATTTATGAATATCAATTAACCTATTTAGGATATTGTCTTAAAACTGTTCACAATGCCTATATTTTATATTTCCGTTTCTAAATATTCTTTTTTTTTTTTTTTTAATTTCTATTCTTCAAGACTAATCAATACATAACCCTGCCACTTTATAGAAAATGGTAGTTTTAGT